TCTGTTTGTTATTGAATAAATTACTTTATGTTCGCTCGTTTTTCTAGTGAATAAATACTTTGGAAGCCGATAAGCGCATTTCGTTTGTAACTGTTTTATAGACCTTTTGTTTTTCTGTTTTGTTTATAAATTACGTCTCTACGTAAGTATGTGTTAACAAAGTTGTTTGTAGATTTTACTCGTCTATTCCCGACATGGTGTAGTTTAATTAGTAATTTATAAAATGAGTTCCGCTGTGTGCAGTTGTTAATTAAATGGCTACTTGTATATGATAAATGTTACTATTAAGTTTACATACAAACAAGGAGGTGTTTGTGCTCATATTTTCTTCACCAGAACAATAGGACAGTTTAAATGGACAGAACAATTAAATTTCTCAACGACAATGAGTGTCAGACGTATTAATGCTACAATGTAGCATTTTGCAGATAATATGACACGCAGAATTCAAGGCACGTCATCGTGTTTGATATCCATCAGTAATCACTTGAAAATTACCGACACGGCGGACTAATTAGCAAGAAAATGCGATCTCTAGCCATTTTCCGGTAAATAAGCATTATTGATGCACCAGCAGCCCGTTGAACAAGAACGTTTTTCTTACATTTCTTAGAAAATCGAACAATTATGGGATTAAATACAACATTTTATGGAGTGTTTCCTAATGGAGCATATTTTTAAAAGGCTAAGGGCATTTTTAACGAAGTAGTCGCTTAAAATGGACCGTTTGATGTGTAAAAACTGGAGTACTGACATTAATAAAGCATTCGATTGTATCGAATATGAAATGGACTCGTATTCGTAAAGAAATACGTTTTTAATAATGCCTGTCTATGGCTGATATTCTCAATTCAAATAGAATTAAATTGGGTGACTAGTTGAATCTATTTTGTGTATAATTTTGCAGTGGTCGTGTAAATTTCGAAGTAGTTGGCAAGTCACTGTTCAGCAATGAAATAAAATGAGTTGATGGTGTTCAAGACGACTGCGTCTATTTCTAAGCCTGTCTATAACAATCATACCAACTGATAAGTGTTACAAATTAAGAAAATCTAATTGATAACAATCGAGCAGTTAATAACGAGTATTATCGCATTCTTTTCACCATAAAATGTCAGGAATGATTAGATGCATTCAAAACGGGATTCTGTGCAAAAACATTTCACGCCTGATCGAATGCCTGCCACAGAATAATTATGATACATAAGTACTTATTGTTCCTGATATAAGCGGACCAATTAAGCGTAGGTAACGAAAATTAAATGGCTGTTACGTCTTGTCATAGTCTGGAATCGTCATTAAAAAGGTCGGTTGTAAAAAACATAATGGATGGAGATTGCATAATTTTGAATTGAATGAGTTCGGCTCGAGTTAAGATGTGTCGTTCACTAATTACCGTAGTCAAGATGTGTGTGCAGGGCCGGATTGGGAGTGAATGAATGACGGACAATTACTTGACCGGTCCTTATATTTTATCTATTGGACAATTAATTTCGCAGCACTTGGATCTATAAGGCTCACAATGATTGTTGTATTTGTCTGTTTAGGCAATGTTGCTTTGCTTATTACGGGTTAAATGTTATTGGATTTTTTAAATGCTGGAATAATAATAAAACTGATGGTGAAGGTGAGGTGAGTGAAAAATGGTTGTTATAAGTAGTAGTAGTAGGCACTTAGAGAAAAAGTATCTCGCTAAAAGAATAATTGTCAATATAAAAAAATTGTGATATTTTAGATAGTAAAACTGTAAGAAACAATTTCAACTAATCGTCTATATCAAAAGTTGTCGTCTTTATGTAAGTTGCCTGTGAACTGGTAATTAAAATCCATTCGAAATAAACACAAGGAACACATCGAACATGTTCATTTAAAGTTATTTTATGATATCTCAATTGCATCCCTGTAGTCCATAAAACGAGCGGCAATCATTATAAGATGACGGAGTATGAAATTGTTTATTCAGAAAATATTAATTATAATTTATTATGAGGTTATTGTTTGTTAATCACAGACTGCTGTTACAGGAGGGGGTGGCGCTGTTTTACGATCTCTCCATGTTCGAGATAATTAAGACATAAAAAATATTCGCAGAACTGTGGCCGTATAATCTTCGTGTCCATGTGTCGGTGTGGAGAAAATTGTGCAATTTCATTAGGCTTGTCATTTTATTGCCGACTTAGATTGGTTCTAATAAAGTAATGCCAGCGCCTAATGAGTGCGAGTGGGTGCCTTTCATTTTGTATAATTACAAACATTTAAATTATGTTAGTTTCAATTCAATAGTTAGTCAGCTAGTGCAGGTTTTCAACGGAAATTGTTGGGGGAAGAGAAAGATTGTAGGACATAAACGGAAAATTAATAATTAAAAAGGAAAAACTATGTTAAGAAACTTCTATATCCCGTACAGTTATTCATACATTGGTATTTCGTTTGCTAGGATGCCCGGCTCTTCATATAGAAAAACCATTTATTACTCCACGACACACACACGTAGACAAGTATACAAGAATAAGAAGTGTTTCAAAAACCTCCTCGATGATTACAGGGATTCTGAATAGACCTAAGATATTTTTGGTATTATATCAATAGAACCTACGAAGAATGAAAGGACCAGAAAAAAACCTGGTCCTATGTGGCGGTTAGGGCGAGTCAACATTTCAATCTATCAGTAAATAGATTGGTCCTTAGTGGCGAGACAACTTTTCAAAACATCCAGTACGTAGGTGCATCCACAAGTACCAGGTGTACATATTCTATGAGACACCTGGTACTAATCGTATCTAATTCTGTTTACCTAACGACTGATAGCAATCGCCGGAGTAAACGCATCACATTTATTAACAATGTTGTTTGTATTTGCTCCTTTGGATATACGTCTTTTGGGTAATTGGGCCTCTGGTAACTTGACTCACACGACGAAACATAAAGTAAGCGTTGTTTCACGACGGTTTTTTGTGAGGCCTTGGTATCACTCCGGTCGAGCCGGGTCATTCGTGCCGAAGCATGGCTCTCCCATACTTAAAAGAGTTGTTGGTTTCTACAGATAGAATTACGATCGCAATTACTGCTTAATTACTACCTATACAACCTAAATCCAAAATCAAAAAAAAAGATATCTTTTTAATAAAAACCAATAATACTTTGCTCGACCTGGGAATCGAACTCTTCCTCGGCAGTCGCACTTGCGACCACTCGGCCATCGAGGCAGTCATTCATAAACGATGATTGAGAGGAAGGATGAAGTTTTTTGATAATTCTTCTGCTTGCTCAGTGCTTTATAAGGATCTAGTACTTCTTTCAACTTCGAGAATAAATTGACTGATTGAAAGCTATGAAATAAACGATATAATACCTAAGTATTTTTTTTTTTGCCTTTTAACCAGTAGGTATCTGCAAACACGATATTTTACAAACAAAAGCCTATAAAAATCATTGTATTACATTAACTTTCGAAGGAAATTACGTAAACTGCCTTCTACCGACCAGTACCTACGTATTACCGTATTGTTGATTGTCCAGCCCGCTAATTACAACGTTTAAACTTAATTGTATTTTTTTATACTGCGAACAAGTAATATGTTGGGACATTAAGCACAATTAAATACCACCCATAAATATACTTAATTATTTGTAAAGGAAGTCTATTTCGTTTTTTTATACTAGGCTTGTTTTTTAAGATTATTTCGATTGGAGAGTGTGAGGTCACATTTTTTCGATTAAGCTCCTTAATTGTTAATGATAAATTTTAATATAAAAAGCGATTTTATGTTGTTAATAATAGCGAATGTTATTTATGGTATTTTTTTTGTTGTTTCGATTGATATAAGCGTAGTAATAATATATGATAGGTAATATAACTGTGATATGAGGTTCTGGGGTGAGGGTGATATGGTCTTTGCTTTGATTTAGCGAAGATTTTGGTTCTTATCAATTTTTCTTATTTTTAGTAAGTAGTAAGGAGTTTCTTAAGGTACTCCTACATAGCAGTTATATGACGTTATACCACGATAACATTTATAATAGCGTGTAACATGTTCCTACGATATGTCAACTTTTGTTACAAGTGATTTGTAAAAAAAACAAATGTTAAGCCAGTCTAATGTTATACAACATTTGTGTGGGAGCACCTTTACAGATATTTTTTTTAAATATCTGGCGTTGTAAATTGACTTTTTGGTCTAATTGGGTACTTGCCAACTAGTCAAATTTAATACTTACTTTTTTTGGAACTGTCAAAAAGAACAGTTTTCTATGAATTTCCTACCAGATTGTGTATTGCGACGTCATGTTTTTTAAGCGTCAAACAACATACTTATTTCTTAAAAAAATGATGGAAAAATACTAAAATTAAGTTGGTCATAAAATCAATTATTGAAAGTGTGATTATTTTTTAATATTTGATTGTATGGTACAGTCGAAATAATTTATTTTTGATTAAGGCCAGTACCCAATTGAAAAAAGTGATTGTCTATGAGTTAGTCCGATGTCCAGAATAGTTTCCGGTACACGTAAAAGGTTTGTATTCTTATTACATTGCATTAATAAAATAATAAAAAGTTATTTTCACAATAATTTCTACACTATTAAATACTATTTACGGCAATAAACCAGCAGCTAGTAGTCGGATCAATAAATAAAAGGGGTCGGTTAATAATGATCAATAAATTTCACTTACATTGCCCGTTCGATACGATATGAAAGTAGGTGATTAATATAAAGAAAACTCATTTACACAGTATTAATACAATATAAATAAATACTATTTAATTTATCTCGGAGTTCGCTCATTTCACTCAGCAATGCATAAAATACAAAGTTATTGGATATTGTCAAAACAGAACACACAAGCAGTAAATTGTCGCCACAAAACGTCGTCCATCTTGCGTTAATAGGTCAGAGACTCAAAGGTTGTTGGTTGGCTAAGCTCAAAAGCGCACACGTTTACAATTTCACAATTTGTCCGCGCGCGCTTTTTGCGCTCCCCAGTAATTGGTGCTCACCTGCACATGCGCACTGGCCGCCACAGCGCACCAAATATGGCGACCAGCCCGACGCGGACATTTCGCTTTTTAGAAGTATCTGACAAATGTGTAATTATTTATTTAATATTGTCGGCGTGTGGACGCATTTGGGCACAATTCACATACCACATTAAACGTTTTTCGGTTGCCATTACAGTTGAGTGTTAAGGACGGTTTAATGCTGGAACTAATAAATACGGTAATGATGCTCCCTATGCGGAAACATGGCGGACATTTTTTTGTTGAAATTTATTAAGCTTTACTGTTCAACTTTAATTGGTGAATTTCAATATATCGCTATGGGGGGCGATTTGGCTCTCCTTCAACAGAAACCTACAAATAAAAATGTATGATAAATGAACAAAAATGTAATCTATTTTCTCTAGAGGTAGTTTCTAAAGAGCTAATAAACAAAGGTGTTAAATCTGTTGAACAGTAGTATTCATCTGATCGTTGATAACATCGGACCGCGGCACCTTGAAGCCAGGTATGCGGACCGAAGGACCAATTTCTTGTAGTGGACGGATTTACGTAGACATCTTGAAAATGTGGTGATGATTGTGAAACCTTGTTTATATTGATAGATTTATTAACTCTTGGTATGTAAAATCGAGTTTCTTTTCGAATATGGAATGTGTACCTACATAGATTTTAGTTTACACACATAGATGATTTCTACTAAATAAATATATAGAGTAAATGTTTTTGGACAATCGTGGATCAATTTTTTTGGAAGTCACCCCTTTAAAAAGAGTCCTTTTTTCGAATTTTTCTTCCACAACGAAGCTGCAGTATCGGTACCAACGTCTAGATGATATTTTTTGTTCTGTTTTCATCCAGAAAAATCTTAGTAGCTGTATTCTTGGCGTCAATTCATTGGATGTATATGTGTCTTAATCCATTGCATAAGTTGAGGACCGTAACATCTGTGGTTATAGGTCTTTCATAATTTCTAGCATTTAAATACCTACGTACTAATAAAAGGTCTTTAACTTTTAAGGTTCCTCAGGTTATCAGCCACATTTAATTGGGTGTCAGTCATTATAGCCGACGTACATACACGTAACTCGGACCCCTATAACATGACCTTTTGCCATTTTCAGAACAGACGGCTAACATTTCTTCATGGTGATTTCACTTGAGGAATGATAAGTTTAAGTTATTGCGTCGACTATGTAGGTGCTGACATTAGAACTGTTCACTTTGATTGATTTTCAACTCTATCGTTTGATGTTAAAATTGTAAATCTATTGGAGAAGTTTAGAGTAGTTTTATATGCTGGTTTATTTAAAAGTATGACATAAGAATGGTGCATGATACAGAAGTGTTTTCTTTGTTTTTTGACAGTTTGATTTAAGAAATTGTTGTGGGCTACTGAATACCTAAAACTATTGCACTTTGTAGATGATCTCTTGGAAGTTATCGTTGACGTCTTATCATATATTGCAAATCAAGGACGTTAAAAAAAAAGACGGACATAGTCTCTTGAAACAATGCCTATGGCACCTGGCTACTATAAACTTACACGGAGAATACACACACATTGACACAAAGGACATCTGTAACGTTTTACGTACGTATGTACATATATTACGGTGCTACAAGTACACGCACACATAAAACACCCCTAATAATTTCTACTTTTTTCATCGCCCTTGTTGTAAACAATGTAATGTAAACAATTGAAATAAGATCTATTTCACTGCGTGTGTCACCTAAAACCTGGTCCTAATCAGATTTCCCACGAGACCAAAATGTGGCTAAGCACAGTTCACACGAGTTGCGATCGTATTTTTCAACATAGCGTCAGATTCCAACAACTGGTCTGGCATCTATAATTGCATAGCGTTGACTGCATACCGATTTCTACCCACTGCACCTAATAGGCAAGTTGACAGCCAGTTACACCTCATGAATTGGTCCTAATGGGCCCTTATTTAGTATAAATTGATTACGTACAAAGAAATTGACATAATTTACTTAATACTGGCGTTTAGTTTCTATGATACAGGAAACCGATAGATTGCGATTTCTAGAAAATTCCGACTGGTATAATAATTTGTTGTTTATTAAAATGATATTTTTCTGAGTAATTACATGTTTTAATCTAGTATTTGAAATGTGCCGCTGATATTATCTTTATGTTGTATAATCACTGGTTAATTTTATGTAGTTAGGTACCTATTTTAGATTGCATTAGAATCATTAATATTTAAGACTTGAGTAAAAGACATCTAGGGACATCTAGGGTAGGTAAGGCCGTATATTCTTTTTAAAATACCACCTGTAATAATAATTTAATTTGGAGTACATATCGTTTCTTTTTTATTTAGATGTGGTGATATATATGAAAACCCGGTTACTTTTTACCAGCTTATTATTTGACAGGGCCACACACCGATCACAATTCCAGACTTCGTTCAACTACTCAGAATTTTGAAAGCAAACGTCTCAATAATTACTTTGTCCACCAGGGTGGTCAAAGGACCTGTATGGCTGTACTGTGTGAACCTGTGAGTACTACGTTGGTGCTTTTTGGTAACATTCTTATTGACAGTGATGTGGACGATTTTTTTGGTATGTTTTGTGTTGAATAAAATGTGGCTTTAGCTTTGCTTTAGTCCACTGCAAATGAGCAAATTACTAACTCATTGTATAAGGTCTTAGTTTTTTCACTTTTTTTTCAAAATACAAATAAAACAGTTGGTTTTAACTTAAATCTTACCTAATTATTTGATTACATACGTAGGTAAAGTTAACATACTCATAGCGTTTCTTTGTACTACTATAAATTATTTTTTTTTACAAATGAAAACCAATTACGATTCGATGTAACAACGTAGGAAAGAATTATCGATGAAGGCAGCGAAAAAATCACCGAGTAATCCCATCCCTATTACTTTTACAAATATCGATCTTTTCATGAATGGAGTAGCAAAAAACGGATCTCAGTTCCTTTTGCTAACGAGTCTTGGACATGGGACAAAACATTGAAGTATGTGAATTGTTTAGTAACGTATAATGTGTTGTTGTTATTGCTGTGTAGGTACCTAGTCGCTGCTTGATGCGCTTCTGTGCTCATGACTTGAGTAATACTCGAAATGTATTAGTGAGGTAGTATACTATATTAATATACTAGCTACTTCCGCGTGGTTTCACACGCTCTGCTCAGCTTCTATTGGTCGTAGCGTGTTTTATAGCCTATAGCCATCCTCGATAAATGCACTATCCAACACAGAAATAATTATTCAAATCAGACTTGTAATTACGGAGATTAGCGCGTTCAACAATATAAGACATAAGATTTTTGAGTATTGCTACATGCGACACAATTTACAGTACACTGTATACTGTAAAAATGTTTATAAGGAACCGCATTTTGCAAAAACTTTCAATGATTTATAGAATTAATGTCTTGTTTGAAGTGTGAGTCCGTATGGTCCTTCTAAAGAGCCGAAAGTACAAATCGGAGTAGACATTTTTACACACGCAGAGTATTACAGAATAAGTAAGTATCTGTAGTGGTCACCATCCCTAATATTTCTGTATATCGTAAGTGATGGAAATGTGGTCTATTGCTTTACACCGGACAGTCCTTACTTAGTTTCTATAAAGCTTAATAATTACGACTTTAACACAGCGATAGAAGTCACCGATAATATAACCGATGTTAGCGGAGAATTTGGCTTCAGCAGTTCTTATTGGCAGTCAAAACTTTAATAATCAAAAGCAACGGATAATAACATACGTTTAACTGTCAATATTAAAAAAAAACGTATCGTTGGTTGATTTAGAACTGTATCTAGGTACAGAAAGACCAAATTGGTCCTTCGGTCCGTCATAAAAATTCTTGACTAGAAGCTTGTTATGTTGACATGTGGCTATGATTTATTGATAGCTCGAACATATGGCTGGACATATATCTTATATATGTACATTTTATTGATTATATTGTTAGGATAGTTATGTGCTAATTCAAACACAGTACACACGGCTATACATCGAGCTTTACATAACCAGTATAAACTGAACGTTAAATGTGCTGAAAGATGATGCGACGTGACACCAGGATAAACTGGTTTTGTATAGATTGATGTGTGACCGTGTGTATAATGTAATTGTTTAACGAAGAGGTAAGCAAACGTGTATATTAAGTGGACACCGTTCATGTAATTTGTTTAGTAACAAGTAGATGATGTGACGATCTGTTATGATCTGTGAGCAAAAGGTCCCAAAGATAGAGATGTTCGTTAATGACTTAAAGTTCAAAAATATAGGTTAGTAATAGGGATTAGTGAAAAACGACGTATGTTTTTGAGGAAGCCAATGGTTTCTTATTTATTTTTAGAATGTATGAGAACTTTCGACAGTCTTCTCTGCATATTCTTGTAAAGGGTTTGTTCAAGGAGCAAGCAGTACCGATGTATTGTTAGTATTTAACAGATTATTGCCCACAATACTACAGATATCCATTAAGGAAGCATATCTGTGTCAAATTATACGCGTTTAATTTTCATTGGACACTCACCAATCAACTAATGATCGGATACAGTATGTCCATATTTAATTCACCAAGGTAGTTTGTTTTTAAACAGTGATATTGTCATCAGCCCGATTTTATTAATTGGCCTCTCCGATATCCCGCCATTGAGTTCGATCTACACATAGTTGGGTGCTGTGTGCTGCGTTAGCCAAGAAGTGCTTATGCGTTTGCTTTTATTTAAAAAAAAGACTATTAACATCTTGTCTGTCGATATATGAGATAGTAGAAAACATAATATTGCGTCTCGCGTAGATTTGCGTTACGACAGTTCACATGCGAAATATGAATAGTGTATAAATTAAGTGCGAATCAGATTCAAATCCTAGAAAATATGTACAGTCAGAGAGTCAGAGAGTCAGAGAAACATAATCAGAGAAGAACAAACACAATACCATGTCTTGTGTTTGTTCCTCTTATGTCATTAGCAATAGTCTTAATTTTCTTTAATTCCCTAGATTGACTCGATTATACTATAATAGACGCCATGGGCACTAATG